CGCTTCTTTGCATTCGCCCTCTGTTTAGGGGGGACCGGGGAGAGGGGGGGGGGCACAGATCCAGCCTCCCCCCCCCGTCCTGCCATCACCCCCCCCCTTCTCTTCTTCTTCCCCCCCCCCTGGGAACTTTTCTGGAGCGGTTTTCTGTTTTTTAAAAAAAGAGGATCCAGATGGAAAAAGGTTTGCAAAATCTGCAGGGGGGGGGAGGGGAAAGGGGCGTTTGTGTGCAAGGAGGGAGGCTTTATTTTTTTCGCAACGGGTCTTAACCGGCCCCGGCGTGCTTACTCGGGAGTAAGGGAGGCCGCTCTCGACGAGGCTGAGGGTGCGGGAAAGCTTTGCCGCCGGCGCGTTCTCATTAGGCGGGATTACTCGGAAGTAAACCCCCTTGACGTCAGGGCTACTTCCGAGTAAAGGCGCCCCAGGCTGCCGCCGCTTCTTCTTCTTTTTTTGCAAGCCTTGGAGGTGTGCATAGACCTGGCTGGAAGGAGAAAGGAGCGGGGCTTACTCGCGAGTCAGCCCCTCGGCGGTGATCCTCCCGCGCGCTTCCCCTGGAGTAAGGAGCCGTGCAGCCTGGTGGGACTCTGCCCTCTCTAAAGACCACCCCTCCCTTTCTCTCCCCCCATCCCCGCAATTGCAGCGAGAGGAACCGGGAGGCGTGAGAATCGAGGCCTCGGAGCAGGGGGGGGGGGGCTTTTGCCTTCAAGTAAGCGAGCCTGGAGCTGCGGTAGCTCAAGTGGTGAAGACGCTGAACTGCAGGCTGTGGAAGGTCGGTCGTTCAGCAGTTCGAGACCCGAGTGTGCCGCATGACGGAGTGAGCTCCCGTCTCTAGCTCCAGCTCCTGCCAACCTAGCAGTTCCAAAGCAAGAAATTGCAAGTGGATAAATAGGTACCACTTCGGTGGGAAGGGAACAGCGTTCCGTGCGCCTCGGTGTTTAGTCATGCCGGCCACGTGACCACGGAAACGTCTTCGGACAGCGCTGGCTCTTCGGCTTGGAAACGGAGATGAGCACCGCAACCCTAGAGTCGCTTTCGAGCAAGGGAACCTTTAAGCGTGCCTGGATCGGGGCTGCGGAGGGGGACGGGTTTGCAAACGGCCCCCCACCCCGCCCCCTACGTGGTGGTGGGGATATTGCTTGCTAAGGAGCGGAGGGGAAGAGTTGCATTTTGCAAACGTGGCGGGAGTTTGGACGGCTGCAGACGGCCCAGTTGGGGGGTGGGGATGTTGGAAACCGAATCGCCCCCGCTGGGATATCGACTGGGGCAAGGCTGACATCCTCCACCCACCCACGAAAGTCTGCTGCCTTCGAGCGAGGTCCTTATAGAAACGTGGCTTGCAGCGACAGGGAGGAAACAGCGTCGGAAATGCACTTGAGGACTGAGTAAATAACCCCCCCAAGCATACGCCCCCCCCACCACGTTGGCAGGGCTCCCCCCCCCCAAAATCCGGTTAAAGTCAAGCAGTCTCTGTGTGTGCTCAACTATGTGGGGGGGGGATTCATTTCCACAATAGGATTTCCTGTAAATCTTGGGGGGGGGGGGTACTTACAAAGTTCTGCACCCCCAAGACTAGCCCTTCCTTTTCCTGTCCGCGTCCCCCACCCCCTCTCCTTAGTTTGGGGGGGGGGGATCTATGGATGTGCTTTGTAGAAAACTGTCCTAGCAAATGCTGAACTCAAGGGGAGGGGGAAGGATTTGGCGTCCGTGGCTTTTGGGCCCAAACCGGTTTCACGCCGGATTCGCGTGTGCACCGTTTCGACAGCCCCCTTCCCCGCAGGCGCTTGTTTATTTGAGAAGAAACGGGAGGTAAACCCGACTTCGATTCGCCTGGAAGTTTAGAGGCTGCGGTCACACACACTAAAACCACTTCCAATGCACTTTCGAATTGGATTTTCCCAGTTCACACGGTCAAGATCCAGTTGGGAAGTGCATTGGAAGTGGATTATGTAGTGTGTGTGACCGCAGCCTAGAAGAGCATTGCCTCCCCCCCCCTGCGACCCTGTAACACGGGATCTTTCTCGGGAGTAAGCGCGCACACACCCCAGCTCTGCCAGGGCTTCCTTCTGTGTAAACACGTAGAAATGCGGCGGTTCGAGGCTCTCCGGGGCTCTTTAGTTCGGGGCCTCCGGCATCTTGGTCATTTCTAGATGTCAGAAAGTACTTTTTTGAAAAAAATGACCAATTTTGGACATAACTTTTAAAACCGAAATCCTCTCCGGAAGAAAAACAAGTAAAAACCACAACAATCTTTCTATATGAGACTTCTGCTTGGGGTTGGGGGGGGGGGTTAGGTGTCTCCCTGGGTAGTTGGGGGGGGCAGTCATTAAAGATGGAAAAAAGATGGAAAATACAACCCTCCCAGGTGTGGATTCAGTTCAGACCCATGTGGGGTTTTCTGCCTTGCATTCCTTTAGTTAGATCGTGTCTGTTTCCTTAAATTATTGGTACCTTTGGAAAAAAATTTTGTAAACATTATTTCTGTGTGTGTGTTTTCTATCTATCTATCTATCTATCTATCTATCTATCTATCTATCTATGTGTTTACTATATCTATCTATATCTATCTATATACACACATACATATAGTAAACATATATAGATAGGTAGATAGATATACACATATAGTAAACATATATATATAATGTAAACATTATATATATGCCTTGCCTAGGTGTCTCTCTCTCTCTCGTCGCCCTCCCCCTTC